AACCCCCCCCCCCTCCCCCCACTGGCCACCACGTGGCCGCAAAGTCGCACGGCCGAGTGGCCGCGGTCGCGGCCTCGGTCGCTCATGGCTACCTCCGGGGGAGATTCATAGCCCGAGAGTCGTATGCAGGCTCATTATGGCAATAAAAACCAGGTGTGGAACGTATGGAAGTGCCGGCGGGTATGCGAGCACAGTACTCGATCGGGTTGCGTCAGCAGTGACTGTTCCACCGAATAACAACGATTGTCACTCGCGCACTGTAGGATTTTTCGATATGCATAAACTTCTTCACATAGATGATAATGGTGCCTTGAAAAGTTTTTACCATCGATGTATGACGAAACTCGGTGTAGTAGGAGGTGATGTTCTTGCTGCATTGTTTCCCCAGAACATGCAGAATGACTTCGTACACATCGTCCGCGCGACAATACAACGACAATCGTCCCGGGCCACCTGCCTTCTCGTGCAGAAGCTGCCTTTCGCCGATGCACCTTGAATAATCGCCAGCCCAATGATCGACGATCATCATGATGTCGTGGTGCAACTGTCAGCGTCTCCACCCTCGTTCCTGCAAAGCTCACAAGCGCGGAGGAACCACATCCCAACCTCGTGCACATGGAACTCCGTCACACCGTCTGGATCAACAATCAACTGTTGGTCGTTCGTCATCGAACCGTATGGGTACATGTTCTGCATCACAACCGCGACGAATTCCAATTTCTTTAACCACTCTTCCTTCAATGTCGAAGTACCGGGTTCGAATCGGGCATTCAAAGCCTCCATTAACTCCTTCGTAAAGTTCATGAACCGTGACTCCGACACGCACCGATGACGGTTACTCATTTTTTTTGCAACCTTTAGCTTCAACATAAACCTGAAGTGCTTGCGAATATTCTTTATTTTGTGGTGATAATCTTTCTGACACTCAATATTCATAGCTCGCAATTGCGGCCCCAATGCCGCACAACCATCTGAGACGACGCACCTAATCTTCAACCCCCTTTTGAGCAGACCTCGCAAAAGTCGCACGACGGCCGGCACCTCGAGTGCATTTGACGCCTTGCCCTCCGCTTTGGGACGGAGCGTGTGTACACCCACGACAAGGCGAGTCTCGTACTCGATGGGGGTGACAATGCAATATTGCGCAAATCTGGCCGAGTCGTACCAACCATCAACCATTAGAGTGATTGACTCCCCACGACGCATTACGGTATCTATTGCCAACTGGCAATATTGCAGTCCTTGCCTGCAAACCTTTGAATTCCACCCCTTCGCCATATCAACCTCTATGCGCATGAACTTGTAGAACGTGGGCTTGTGCACCGAGCACATCCCTAACGCACACAAAAAGTTGTCCAGGAGTGTGTACGTCAATCCCGTAGTAACTGTCGCATAATACAGTTGTTGTTGCAATCGAGAGAAGTACACATTTGTTGTCACAAGTGTTGAGTGCCACATCCATTTACATCGGCGATCGCAAACAAGAATCAGTTGACACAACTGGGCAGGATATGATATGGATTCCACGTGCACACAACATACGTCACCATGCCACAAGCAATACAAATGAAACAATCCTAACAATTGAAGCATCTTCACCGGTTCGAGGAGCACAACATCAGGTACTTTCGGTCCAACCCACAATCCCATCGCCTCCTCAACAGAGTCACGGTCGGGGACGGGACCAAACTGCGACACACCGTCCCAACAATCTGACCACGTCTGTGGGTGTGCAGGCGCCGCAGTGGAGCGATCTGCACTGTGGGGCCGACCACGCCCTGTCTCACTACGTTGCGAACCATGCCTTGACCGCGGGAACGAGCTTTGCGAGCCGTCCTGTGTCGACACATATCCCAACCGAAAATCCGGTCCACTTTTTCGTGACGGCAATGTCGCCGAGATTGCAGCAACTATGGTGCCGCCCAACTCGGCCCGTATAGCTGGGAACAATCAATACAATAGACGATCCACAAAGTCGCTGACGGATCCACGATTGTCACTCACACCGGACATAGCATCGCGGAGTGCATACCTCCTTCGATATTCGTCCTTCACACTCACTCGAACAATCTTTGTTGAGGCCGAAGATGACGTACCACCGGCGAGCGCTGCGCAATCAACATTATCCGTGGAAGGCGTCGGGCGACGTGTGGTAGAGGCACAGGGAAGCAACTACCTTTCTGAATTGGCCAACGTACCGACGAGTCGTAGCTGCGAAGTCTGCACACGGTCTGCATCGCCACATCGTCCCAGAATGGCATGATGGCAGCGCCACCAGCTAGACATGTCGGGCCCACCGCATGTGTCCAAACTGGAGCCACAGGGACAGTCGCCCCGTAGTCCAGCCGTCTAGGGAGGAGAGGGGACGACAACAATGGAGCACTAAGCACACTGTCATGCACGGACGGATTACGAACCGCCTGCACAGCGAGCGGAGAAGACCCCAACAAACTCGGAAAAGGCGAACGATAGATGTTCCCCGGTTCACCGATGTCGCCTGTGTTCGGCGAAATGTGAACACGGCGCCTTTTCCCTAAACACACTTCCTCACGACCACTGTACGGTGACCCTCCCATCAACCCCTGCGCACCACATGGAGATTGAGTGACATCGCAATTCGTGGCTATGTCAAGGACTACACATTTGGGTTCAACAGGTAAGTTCAAATTCCTTTAAACGAAACTATTTCTACTTCGACTAGTTCACAAACAGAAAGCACAATGAACAGAGAACAGTTCTAACTATGCTGTCTGTCAGATGTTAATGGCTATACATCTAACTAATAAAAAATAAAAATAGAATCATTTAATTGGCTGTTTGCAGAGTGAAATCTTTCCCAAACTTATCACCTGGAATCTACCCCTCCCTCAGTTTTTCCTGAATGTCCCTTGTCGTCAGCGTCCCTAAGCAATCCGAAACAGTGTGCGTGTCTAAAGGTGTGCACACGTCCCACCCCTGTGCCCCGAATCCTGCTGAGCTGGCCCGCCCTGCACAATATTTATCCTCGCGTGCAGCGAGCCTCACACCGACCGATTGGCTGATCAAGACGCGTTTTTTATGGACGGCCCCGAAGTCCTCAGGAATTATTTAACGTCGCAGATAAGACGACGATCACAGCCAATGGAAGGTCCCCGCCGGTACTTATTTATAGACGTCAGGTACTTGTCTTTCCCGTAGGGGTTGCCTGTCCCTCAGAACCCATCTATAGCGCAGCGAGCAGACAAAGGACAAACCAGCAAAGCATGCGTGCTCTACTCCCGGTGGGTTGGCATGGTGACCGTGACCTAGTGTTTCCTCCATGGCCCTTCAGATAGCTCCGCCCTCTCCTTCCAGATGCTCCACGTGAACACTGACGACTCTCAAGGTTAAGCGCACTCGACTCCTCACATGAGAGGACTTTGAAGACAGAACACACATCCTCACGGTAAGAAATGTCGAAGAGGGTAGATAAGGTTAGGTGCAACGTACCTCAAAATAGCTGCCCCCAACCACATATATTCTCACTAAATGACATGATGCTGATTGTGATGGCCAATCGCTGCTTCGGCACAACCAGCATTACACCACCGTTCCACCTCAGCATCAACCGCACATCATCACACTTCGAACACCCAATATTCACCACGTAGCCTTCCTGGCGATACCCTCACCTCCTGGGTCACCTTACTTGCCCTCGCCCTCCTCACTACACACCTCCCACCACCGCTCGCTCAACAGACCGCGTGCATGTACCGCTTAGGCAGAAGACAAGCGCCAAATGAGCCCACCGTACCACAACTCCGATACCAAACTGCAAGGAAAATGAGCGATAGCGAACTTCAGAAACCAAGCAGCATCATACACATGAGAGCAGATAATTGTGACCTCTAACCAAAAGCAGAATTGCATCACAAGTCCCACCAAATAAGAGCACAACAAAAACTCATAAGTGATAATGTTCGAATAGTCTCATCGTCATCAACAAAGAACCAATGTCGATATCCTATCTAACGCTCGGCACGCAGACTACGAATGGCAGATCCTATCTAGCCTATTTACAATGCCGCTGATGACGTCAACAGCTCCCCGAAGTACGAGCAGATCTTGGCCAATGCCGTTCGCCTCAAGCACCGGATATGTCTCTCGCATCACTCATAACCTCGATCCCCAACTCACAGATGCCACATGCACCCAAGGACCACCATGCGCATCATCCAGCATACAACAACGCAGCTTGGCTATGGCTGCCTGCTCCTTCCGGCTCGTCCGTGAGTGCATGAGCGCTGGCCAGTGTATAGCGCAGCATGCAGCCAGTGCCCGAGTCCGGAATGCGTGGGCAGGCACTTTCCTAAATGGAAATTGCCTGCCTGCTGCGTAAAGCCTGGCTGCGTTGGGCCCCTGCCCAGAAGCTTCCGGTAGGCCCAGAGAGGTTGTGCCCCAGTTCAAACGAATCAGGCCCTAGGCCTCTGGTGGTTGCCCTTGTCCAACTGTCCTCGGCCTGTGTTCGGTCCATGTTGCTTATTTGGCCCAGGGCCTGAGGGCCTGCCTCAGGTACATACAAAAAGGCAGCCTGGGCCTGGGCGCTCTCAACCAACTGGCGCTGCGCAACTGCCTGAATTTACTCAATTGCGTGGTGACCCCAAAATTAGGCCTGTAGGCCCCGGGTCGAGCCTGCCTTTACTTAGGGCGGCCGACTATACAGAAAATAGGGCCCAGGAGGGCAGATAGAGGCCTTGAGCCTTGCACAGGAGAAAGGCAAAAGGAAAAAAAGAAACAGAGACCTCCGACCGGAAATCACGGCAGAGTGTTTCCCAGCCATCAGATCACAAATGATCTGATGGTCGTGGTTGCAACAACAATGAACAAAGTAACCGCCACATTTTCTGGAATAAACTCGACTTCTGTCGGCAGTGATCCTGACAGCCTCCATATACTCCGTGATTGAAGGAGGGCTCCGCCCATTGAGATAATTGCACAACAGCAAGTAAAATACTGAAAATCTTCTATCCAGTGGGCCTATGGCCGACCCCACCCTCTTTTGGGGTTGGCCACACCCCTAACTGATTGAAAAGATGCTGGCGGGAAGTGCACGGGCATGCCCAATGTTAAGGAGAGGAGGAGGGGAACAAAGATGTCCTTACTTTTTCGGGTAATACAAGTAAAATACTGACCGTGGGATCACGCGTACTGCACGACACAGTGACGGCAGGATTTGGGTCACTCGACTGCCCCACAAACTTGTTTCTATCCTATCGTGTTGCTAGTGGGACCTCGCCCTTGGAGGGAAGGATTAACCCAGTCCCATAGACAATCAAATTCTGCCCTACTATAGCGAACCGCCAATGATCAAACCCTACAAAGCAAAACCCGGGGGGGGGGGGATTATAGCAGGGCAAAAGAAGTCGAGCACATGCTGGGTCTCAGTCAAAACCCTAAGTGGATATGCCCAACAGTTAACATGTCCGTCAGATGAAATGAACTTAAATCAATCAAGAAAGGAAGAATTCAGCAAACAAGTAGTGTGAGAGTTACCGTTCCCGCACGGGAGAGGTTCCCAGTAACACGGGGAAATCACACATTCGTAATAGATCCATATCTATGAGATCAACGAGATCATCCGAGACCAGGCAATCAGATCGAAGCAGATAACCTTCCAGCAAGGCAAATCCATCCCACAGGCTATAGCCAATCGAAAACACAGGACAAGTTATCCCAAGCACTTTCAAAACACCACCCAGACTCGACGAGTGGAGAGACAAAATGCAACCCACGGGATCAACGATTTCGTCTCCTGACCTACCCCCATCAGTAACCGCACAGGGAACCACGTGACCCGCTCATATCCAGTCGATAACATAACTGCAGTGGAGAATATCGTCGCTACTGTTGTCGATGAAGTCGATAGTAGATCAGTTTTGTGAGATGTTGCCGCGACACCCACTGGATCGTCCGAAGGAGCAGCAAACACTCCTGGTGTTATTGTGAGTGAACTTGATACTAGATGGATTTCAAAAGATGTCTTCGTAATGCCCAGCAGATCCATCGTTGGGGTAGATAGCACTCGTGGTGTGTTTGATATCCCCGTTACTATGCACACCCGGTCCGGCGCATCCATCCCAATTAAGGATGTTGAAACTTGAGCAGTAGTTGAAAGATATGATGCGGACCCTGTTTCGAAAGATGTCACCATGATGCCCACCGGATCCGACGTTGGAGTAGAAACCACTCCCCATGCGTTCGGTATCTCCGTGATGCACACTGGGGCACCTGTTGCAGTCTTTGATGTTGGCAATTCTGCAGATGTCGTCGTCATAAGCACCGATGTCAAAGTTGTTGTTGATGCTTCCATTGTTGATACTGTTGTTGATGCTGTCATGGATGCTGTTGTTGATACCGCCGACGATACTGCTGGTGATAGTGGCAAAGTTGCAAATCCGGCTGCCTGGGAACGCCTAATTACCTCCACACCCCACGCACGTGCTCCAGCCTGGAGGTGAAGACAATCGTGCCATAAAAAGTTTGCTCGGTGCCAGTCAATAAAGGCATCTATCTCCATGGCAGACCCCTCTTCGAAAGGCTTGCTGATTTCCAACATGCGCTGCACTATGGCCTCCACCCATCCCGTTACAGAGGTTGCTCCCCCTTCAACCTCAAGACCAGACAGGGGGTGGGAGGAGAGCTGGACCACCATAGCCTGAAGTTTCTCCGACATTCGTTCAACCTAGAGAGCCAGCGGTCCGCCTCGAGTCGCCGCCCCTCCGCAGAAGCCATTGTGTGTTGAAAGTCTTATCTCCTGTCTCCTTGGTATCGTCCTCAGGATCACCTTGTGTTATTCGCAGCGCTCCACTCGCAAAGACACCGTTCGCTCGTTGACTACAGGGTATTCCTACACTGCCCGCGTCGCCACGCCTCCACCATACCCGTTGGGTCAACCTACCTTCCACGCTGCGATGGCGTCAACGTCTCCTGCCATCCTCGTCAACTTCGAGGTCTTGGGTAGCAAGACCGCCAGGCCCACTGGCCGGTTTGTTCCCCATGCACTCTCGACCGTAGCGCCACTCCTCAGCCAGGATGTTCTGAACCCCACCGCTACTGGTAGTACCTCAACTACACAACACTTCAGATCTACTGGGTAGTGGCCAGTGCAGTCACTCTTCTTGGACAGGAGTAAGGACTGGGTTAAGGACAGGGTAAAGTTTTCTGACTCTATGCCAGCAAAAGAGTGGGGGCTTAGCTGGGGGTCGGACTTCTGGCTATGTCTGATGCGTCCTTTCTTTGTAAGAGGAAATCCAAGTCAAAACTGTGGATTCTGTGGCAAAGTATTTTGTTTTTTACTTTTTAGTTTTTTTTTTTACCTACGCTACATTCTTCTCTCAATTTTACCTTTCACTACCTACCTACCAGTACTCCTAAGCCTAATATACAGGGGAGCCCTGCAAGCATTAGCTACTTCTCACAGTTACAGGGATGCATGTTGACCCCTGCCCTAATTGGAGGTGGTCAGGGAGTAGGGTGGGGCCGCCGGTGGGGGGGGGGGGGGGGCTGCCTAATGCAAAGACTCAACATTTTGCCAGTGGCTGCGCCCCCTTCCCCTGCCCCCATCGAGTAACAGCAGTCTCTATGACCAGCACTCTCCCACACACCACACACAACCCACACACACACACACGCACACCCGTGATGGCCAAAGACCCTACCAATACGGAACTGGGGAGCAAGCCAACTATCTCAGTTGGTTGGCACCAAGAGTTCCCCTGGGGCAGTCAATGCTGGCAGGGAAGGTCAGACTTTCTCTCAATTTTTCCAATCTTCAATTCATTGTACTCATCAGGGGATGCTGGACCAGCTTTCCAGCAGGTGTAGATCCCCACCAATAGACCAGAGCATTTAAAAAGAGAAAGAGAAAAAAAGCTTTACAGTCCGGTGGGGGGGTGTTATGTTCCAGGGATGCCGGTTTTCGTGACTGCACAAAAGCTGCCCCTTTTTGTTTTCATTTTCAAATGAAATCTTCATCGTATTCCTCGGGAGCAGCACTTGCTGGGATACGGGCCCAGCGTGCCTTTTTTTTCTTTCCCAGAAACCTTCAGCTCGCTACTAGGGGGAGTGGTACAAGCACCTCCACCCAGTAGCTGCCTCAGGTTGCTCCAATCTGCTGGTGAGCCTCACCTGCTCGGAACAAGGTTTTCAAATTCCTTATAGTGTTGGTTGAATAACACTGATTGCCCCAGGCTGAGATCGAGGGAATTAACTGCCAATCCCTGTCTCCCTCCCCACATAGCGAGCCTGAACAAATTCCATCTTCAGCTAGGCTACCAGCCGGGCAGCCCGGGTAACCTTGTTTGCCTGGGCGGCCCGGTGGTGCAAGGGTGACAGACGCGATGAATCCCAACTCTGATTGCGGTCGGGATCCCAACCGTCAGCCACAGCCTGGGCGGTCGGGCGCGACCAAGAAATCGTCATATTTAAAAAAAACAAAATAATAGACAAACAAAATAGGCTACCAGTCGGGCCGCCCGAGTCCCGGGTGGCAGTAACAGTAATGAAAACAAAGAGTCAAACATCAAAGATGATTAATTTACATCGAAGACGTCTGGACAGTAAGCATTGATGACATTACGAAAGATCGAAAAATAAAGCACAGGAAAGCGTCCCCGACGCATTTCGATGGCCGCCGCCATTTCTTCAGGGGGTTCTCCACCTCCTTCCCCACACTAGTCAAACTTCCCAACGTCTACCTCTCCCGTCCTTCGCCACAGCCTGTCTCCGGAGACCGACGACAGACCCAGTCGTTAGTCCTGAAAAACAGTCCTCGACTAATGCTAATATAGTCCTAGCCTATATGTCCAACCAAACCGTATCGAATCGAAAAGAGAAAAGTACCAGACCCGAGCGGGGCCTTTCCCAGGTACCTGGAAAGGGCTCGACTGAAGCCGTTCCAAAATCGAAAACAGAAAACGAAAAAACAAAAACCAAGGTCCGACCAAAAAGCTAGATGAGCCTGTTTTGAGACGTCTACAACAAGAAAACAAAAACGCGAAAAGCAAGGTTACCCCTATCTTCACATCCACGACATGCTGTCCGAGACAAACGGCTAGATGAGCCTAGTCAGAAACATCAAGGAACAACAAACAAAAGCCATACAGCAGGCAAATGTCTCCCTATCCTCACATTCACACAGCTGAAAAAGTACTCGCAAAGTCCTAACCTATCCTTGATACTACAATTATTGTAAGAACGGCACAGTGAGTTGCTAAGTCTCGTCTCTTCTGACGGAAAAATGTTTCAGCACACGGCGGAAGAAGGGTTCTGGAAAGTCCTTCTTCATCAATTCATCTCTCAAAGTGAGAGCGCGCAGCGGTATTTCCGAACGAAACGTAGTATTACGATGGATCTGGTGTAAGAACCCACTCACAACACCGCTCGTCTGCCTCCTGCATCCCCAGGAAAGAAATGATTGTCCGTTGTGGATCTTAAGAGGGCCGTTTGTCCAGGCTCAATCTTCGTTTTTGGACATCTGAATGCAGGTCAAAAAGGAAAAGTACTTCAACGTGCGAATCTGACAACCCAAGAAGTCAAAAGTCCCGTTTCCATTGTCTGTCCGTTTGAGTGTTAGAGCATCGGGATAGCATCCCTCAAAGGTTACCAGTAGGCGCTCAGCTAACTCATGCTTTCTGGTGGCGGTGACGAACATGACATCGTCCACTAGCCGTTGGCCAAAAACACTACGGATATGTCTACCAATACTCCGAGAAAAAGTGTACTCCGAAAATGCACATAGAATACAGGCCAATGGGGGGCTCGTTGTCTTTCCCATCGGAATCCCAACGACCTGCTGCAGCAACACGCTGGTAACGAATGTATATGTGTGTGCCAACTCCAATCTCACAAAGGAAAAGATATCAGTAATGCTCAGCCTCCGCCAATGATCACCGCCGGTAGTCACCCCAAATGAGGCGCCTCTCACCCTCGTGTTCACTCTGATAAAGGTTCGGTCCTTAGACTGGTGGAAGGAGATAATCCACTCACCGGCTCGCAAAATGTCACAATGCGGGAGGCGCCTCTCCTTAATGTCAAAGGAGTAGGAGGAAACTTCGCACCCTTGCCCCATTCGTGCGATCTTTTTGTTGGCGATACGCAGTCATTGCGCTGACTCTGACACAGAGGGAAGATTGAAATGCCAATCAAGGGGGATAGTTAGCAGCAAGTGGTTCAGAGCCCTGAAAACCAGTTTACCCGTCCTAATCATGGGCTCATTAAAGGTAGGGCAGATCGGTTTGTATCCTCCCTAGACCTTGTGTTTCAGCATAATTTAGGCCTATCCAAAGCAACCCGACTTTTCCCAATTAACGAACTTGTTCAGATGCGAAGCAGATGCATCTTTCCTAATCTCACGCAAAATCTCGCCCTTCGAAGCCGACACAATCCTGTACCCCGAATTCAAGACGAAAGTAGACATCATACCCTCAAAATATACCAAAGGGCACATCACGAGGGTCTCCCTAGGATTTTTGGTCGAGGGGTGTTAAGACTAACCCATCGAATCGGTTCTTCACCTCAAGAACCTGATGCTCCAGAGGACAGGAAGCGGGCGAGTTAGTACGTATGAAACAATTCAGTAAGGTGTCCGTCGGGATCACCCGAGGTTTTGTCCGACAATTCCTCCAGTTGGCGAAGCCGCATGCAATCTCCTTCTGGAGACTGACTACCCGATCCTCGTTCACGACACGTGGTACATTCCTGGAATTACACAACAAAGGGTGAATTCTAGTTGGCTTAAGCGGAAACGGACATGGCCCTCCTCGCATGGGTAGGGCATCCCTGCACAGCTGCAGGTGAGCACACTCATAGTCGCAAATTTGCGATGGTTGTGTACTATCTCCGCCATTGATGAGTTCTTAACCCAGACAAGGCGGATCTTCCTCCGAATACGGCGTAGATAACAAGAAGGCTAATCACACGACATCAAACAATCATTCACTACTTTACGCAGCTCAGACAACTTAATTTGTTCATCATACTTTACACGAAAGACAGGATCAGCCCCGATACAAATGTCGAAGCGATCCCGAAAAATCCTGGAGATCAAACGCCGCAGATACTTCCGCATTGATTTACGAGAAAAATCCTTTACCGCATTGTACAGCCTAAGCAGTGACCTGATTCCCCACCTGTACACGTCGGTCAATCTGTCTGGATTGCGTAGAATCTGAATTAGCAACCCCTTCAAGTAGTTGCACTTAGGTTTCCATTCACAAACATGTGTCACACGAAAAAAGTCTGTTGCCTCGAAAAAAAACTTTACATACCTTAAGCCTATGGTTACCTTGACCCTTACACACCTTAGATTCCCCGAACGCCTTTACTATGCTCTTCCAACCTCCGCACCATACATTTTCAGGTTCAAATTCACATGATAACTTCGAACGACCACTCACAAGACTCTCGTTTAGTAGTCGATAAAAGTCTAAGCTCAAGGACTCGTTCTTATCCCGGCGAAAACGTACAAGAACTGAAACAGTCATACCCCCAGAAGATACACCATCCTTCCTACGCTTAGCAACCCTCCCTTTTCTCCATGGTTTTGAACTCTTTCCAGAAGGCTTAAGAACACCGACAGAATTAAGGAAAGGAGACCACTGTTGTATATACAACTTCTCAAGACAGACTAAGTTTGTACCATCAAAGACATCAATTGGGATTAAAACATATTTCCCAATGTCAAAGATGCAAATCCATTTGTGGAAGTGCGACTGCTTACGTTTCCAACAAGCGTAGATGTGCTCGCGCCATCTCACCACAGTGCTCCGAGTTGTCTTACCGACATATAAGCGCTTACAATACGGGGACGCACCAATATACACAAAGTTAGCTAATCCAAGAAAGTCAAGACGATGCTTCTCGTACATAATTAACCAGTTTTTAACGCTCTTACCCAACCAGCGGATCTGCCCTACTAGGGTCAGGCTCAAAATCACGAGGCATAGCAGTTCCTCAATTTTAGGATCAAACACGTACGAATCATCTCTCAACTTGGTAATGCATCGGCAAAGCTTCCATAGCTTCGGCATCTCCAAAGGTCCTCAAGCACTAGCATCTTCAGGCAGTTCGCCGTCGACAGATCCCGCATCCAGGGCCTCGGAATCATCGAGGCGGATGACTTCGGCAAACTCCTGACACGTCGCTCCGAACTTCACCATCGCCCGTTTATCCGCAATATCGAGAATAGACTTGATCTTCCCATTGTACGAGATACCCTCGCCCTTGCATAACTTCTGCAATTCAACCATGTCAAGAGATTTTAAATCATCAATCACCTTGTTACGGTAACGCAACCGCTCCAGTGTGCCTCGAGTAACTGGGGTGCAAGCCCTCACTTCTTTGACACCTACCTGAGCAGCCTTCGGGGTCTTCGGGGTCTTCCGTCTGGATAGCGGGGTCTTCACGGGCTATCTGATCACTGGTGCTCGCCCCCGGGTCTTCCTCAATGGCGTCACTTTAGCGGATCTTCTCGCCTTGGCTCTCGTAATGCGCATCGTCAACTGGACAGGCTTCAACCCTCCTTGTTGTGGAGTGCGCTTCGGTGACATCTCCATTGGTGGGCTGTCGCCAAGTGCAGCTTTCGGGCCCCGTTTCCGCTTCTCGGAAATTTGCAGCTTTGTAGTGCGCTCGCTCAACTCTTGTGTGACGTTGGTGTCACTACTTTCGCTCTCTTACTCCGACCGAGACCCGTGGTCGGAGACGTACGTGACCTTCTTCTTCCCCTTATCGCCAACCGTTTTATACAAAGGTCCGATCACTCGGTGTAGCCTCTGAAACCAATTATCTTCCAACTCATTGATTTTTACGGCAACGGAGATGTTGACGTTTTTCTTCATCTGCGCACGTCTCTCATTCTCGGCTTCGGCAGCTACCCTACGCTCTTCAGCACGCTTTCTCGCTTTCTTCGCCGCACGTGCTTCCTTTGCCTCCAGTCTCATCCGTTCTGCCTCCTCTTGTTCCAACAACTCGTTCCTCTTCTGTTCCCTTAGCGCTTTCTCTTCCTTCTTCTGATTTTGCATCTCGATGAAATCTTGCATCACAGCGACGGATTTACTCAGCTTCAACACTGTAGATCTTATCGCGGCCTCCTTGTTCGGTGAGTCGCGTCTCGTGAGTGAGTCATATCTTCTTGGCGATCGCGATTGGTGGGAATCCGAGGACGCTGATGGTTTCGCTGTGTACCGATGCCTTGGAGCTCGGTTCGGACACTGGTTGGCGTAGTGTGCAGGTCCGTTGCATGAAAAGCAGGTTGGTGTTCAAAAACGCCTTCGATCCTCATACCCTCAGCCGCTCGGTTGACCGCCATCGTGCTGCTCTGCATTCGACATCTTTCAACCCTCCCTGGTACGGTGGCAGGTATGTGTCCTCGCCCTTGACGAAAGCAACCAGCGCTAGTCCGAGCAACACTAGATGTCCGTACCCAATGTGATAACCGAAGTAACCAAAGTGCCCGATGTATGCAGATGTATACAGGTGCACACAGATGTAAATACGCTCACTCCGCCCAGCGAAACTGGACTCCAGGTAAGTTAACGTGCGCAATACGTAGCAGTAATGAAAACAAAGAGTCAAACATCAAAGATGATTACATCGAAGACATCCAAACAGTAAGCATTGATGACATTACGAAAGATCGGAGAATAAAGCACAGGAAAGCGTCCCCAACGCGTTCCGATGGCCGCCGCCATCTCTTCAGGGGGTTCTCCACCTCCTTCCCCACACAAGTCAAACTTCCCAACGTCTCCCTCTCCCGTCCTTCGCCACAGCCGGTCTCCGGAGACCGACGGCAGACCCTCGTTAGTCCTGAAAAACAGTCCTAGACCAATGCTAATATAGTCCTAGCCTATATGTCCAACCAAACCGTATCGAGTCGAAAAGAGAAAAGTACCAGACCCGAGCGGGGCCGTTACCAGGTACTTGGAAAGGGCTCGGCTGAAGCTGTTCCAAAATCGAAAACAGAAAACGAAAGAACAAAAACCAAGGTCTGATAAAAAAGCTAGATGAGCCTGGTCTGAGACGTCGACAACAAGAAAACAAAAACGCGAGAAGCAAGGTTACTCCTATCTTCACATCCACGACATGCTATGGTCCCGGGTGGCCAGCCCGTGCAAGAGAGTTAGAGTAGAGTTGCGAGCGGCATACGGCACGCATGATGACTCAAACACTCCGAATGCTTGACGAAAGGAACACCTCTCTTCTCAAACGCGAACACTCATGACTGAGGAAGAGAGAGAGAGAGAGAGAGAGAGAGAGAGAGAGAGAGAGAGAGAGAGAGAGAGAGAGAGAGAGAGAGAGAGAG